AAACCTTCAGGAAGTGTGATTGTACTTTAAAAGACACACAGCTTATGTAAGTGGATACATGAGTCTCCACAGCACTGGTACTGGGTGCAGGATGGATGGTCTTGCCATATGTATGTGGGCAGAGGTCACAAGAAAGCCATGGAGGGCTGGAGCAAAGAAAGGCATGCTTTGCCCAGCACCAGAAGAGCTGGCCATCTTGCTGCCCCACTGCTCCAGGAAGGAAGGGACTTGTGAAGGGAGAATGAGAATGTTTCAGGAGTGTTTCTGAGCATGAGAGAGTGCTTAGCTTTGTTAAACTCCAAGGCCAACCTTCTAGCTCCTGGTTGGCAGGTGTCAAAAGGAGTTGTAGAAGGTCTGGGATCGGGAGAAGGAAGAGTGGTTGTTTCCCCATAGACAGGAGTCTTCAATCCTACCTTCTTCACTCTTTAGAAGCTTCAGAATGATCAAAACAAGGTAGAGGAGAATCTAAGCCCAGGCAGCTGATAGGAGGGAGGGAGGGAAAGGATGGGAAGAGGAACAATTTGAGTATTCCTAATCCAGTATTCATGGTCTGCTCTGCCCTTTCTTCTTTCACGATCTGAGGTGATCTGTTTCTTTCCACTTCCTTCCTCCTTGAAATAAATGATAGCAGCATGCCTTTCATTCTGTCTCCTAGCAATTCATAATGGTAGCTGTGAGGGAATCCCAAGATGTATCTAGGGTGTGCCTCAGATGATTACTTACCGATAACTAAAAAAAAAGGACACAAATATCCATGGTATTTGCATACATTCATTTATATGTCAGGTTGCAAATATAGAAATTATATGATTGGAAAAAAAAGAAAAACACTGTCTATTGTGCCTGGAAACAAACTAGCAGCCAGTGGAGCTGTTTCAACAGGGGCATCATATGGTCTCTATAACATGTGCCAGCTCTGGCTGCAGCTCTTTGGATCAGCTGAAGTTTCTGAACACTCTTCAAAGGCAGCCCAAGTAGAACACTTTACAGTAGTCCAAACAACATATAACTAAGGCATGTACCACCATGGCCAGATCTATGCAGTGCATTAACATGCCCTAAAATACACTTATGATACCTTACTGTTAAATAGAACACCAAATTTCTTCAAGGACTGTACAAATATTTGCTCCAAACATTGGGTCAGGATGGTGTTGCATCATTGGTTGCATGGTTACATTTAGCTTTGATATATCCCCATTAAGCAGCATCCAGAAAGGGATTGCAAAATCTTTGTTCTAAAAGCAAAACAAGCAGCTGATCCCATGGATGTTGAACCTTCTCCCCATTACCACAGCCAGCACAACATCACTCATAGCTATGAGATCTACATGCAGAAAAACACATCCCACTGAGTTGTCTATACAGTTTAAAAGGTAGGAAGACAGTCTATGGGTACAGAGCAACTCTGGATTAAAAGGTAAGCTGCTGTTGTTGTTATTACTGCTGTTGTTATCATCCATCTTTCAGTTATGAGACTCAATGAGGCTAAAACTATATTTAAAAATGATGCAGATTAAAACTGTACAAAAGCTTCACTATAAATATAAACAATAAAGTTAAAACATTTGACATTAATAATATTAAAATTCATTTAATGACAACATACAAATCTTAAGCAGTACTGTACAACATTAAAAGCCCACACCAGTCAGTTTTCCAAAGCCTGACAGCATAAAAATGTTTTTACTGAGAGAAGGAGAGCAAGGATACTGCCATTCTGGACTCCCAGGGAGGGAGTTCCAAAGTCTTGGAGCAGTCATCAAGAAGGCCCTCTCCCTTGTTGCCTCTAAACAAGCTTGAAGAGATATTGGGACAGAGAGAAGAGGCACTCCAGATGATCTGAGAGCTCTAGTGGGGTTATAAGGGGAGTTACAGTTCTTCAAATACCCTGGACCCAAGACTTCATCAATTACCATGATATACAAGGGACAAATGACCCATTTATTTAATCTTACATCCAGTTGGAAATACTGCAAAGTGGAGGCAATGCAATGAAGCAGTCCAACACCCTCTGTTCTTTTCTATATTTTTCATCTTCCCATTTGTTGTTGTTGTTGTGTGCCTTCAAATCATTTCCAACTTACAACAACCCTAAGGCTTTCTTGGCAAGATTTGTTCAGAGGAGGTTTACTATTACCTTCCCCTGAGGCTGAGAGCATGGGACATGTCCAAGGTCAACCAGTGGGTTTCATGGCTCAGCTGGAAATCCAACCATGACCTCCAGTGTTATAGTCCAACACTCAAACAACTTCCTATAGTCAATAGAATTGTCATGGCCACCAAACATACTCTGCTGAGGGCTTTTTGATCTTACTTTATTTTCTAACTTAACTTTTAACTATAGGTAAAAGTAAGCATTGTGTTTTCCTTTGCAAATCTTGAGATTCCAAGGCTACATATTCCTCCCTTTTATGTAAAGCTAGTGCCACTTTCATTATTTAACATCATAGCATAACCGTCTAAACACCAGAGAGGGGAAGGAAATGATAGGTAGTACTTGCCTTTGATGCAGATCTGGATGACCAGTTGGTGAATTTGCCAAAGGCAGTTGGCTTATAAATATAGCATACTAATAGCTGGTGTTGTTGTGATTAGCTGTTGTATAGCATTTCCAGGGCCTGGCAATCTTATGCATTGCTGGCTGGTTATTTTTATGTCAGTGAAATGGTGAATCCACTCCAGACTTTACTCCAATCTCTTAGCTGAATCCTAACCACAACACAAAAAGCATAACAGCAACAGGATGCATCATTCTATAGCATCCGTGGGCAACTGCAGAGGGGATGCATTCCCCGCTCTATGTTCACCTGCTGGGCCACACTGGCATGTTTTGGCATACCAGCAGTATGCTGCCAACAGTTTCAGCTGCCATTTTGGTTGACTTGCAGCCCATTTCTTGCTTTCTTGCTTTTTCAGAGCTTTTGGAGGATAGGGGACTCTGAGGGTTGGGGAAGCAAAGTGGCACATTTGCAGCCTGATTTGGGGAGCTATGCAGCAGTCTTCAGTTAAAAAGGCCCCATCCAAAATCTTGAGGGGGGTCTGGAGTCCTGAGATCTATATGTGACCCTCAAGCTGCACTCTGCAGGAAGTTATAGAATCCATAGTGTAGCTGGGGAGGAAAACAATGCTCCATTTAGTGAATTTCAAGGTAAGATCCTTTTCTCGTCTTCATGGTTATCTCCTCCCTCCATCCCAAGTTTCCCTTTCACATTCTCCCATGCCCTCCAACTTTTTATAGATAAAAAATAGGAACATACATGTAAATTTGTAAGGCAAGAGTGTGACCATATGTATCTGTGTCTGTGTGGTGCATCTGTGTGTTTCTGAGAGCTTTTTGCAAGGCAACCTCTTCTGAGCCATATCTTAGGTCCTGCACTGGCAGAGGGTTGGATGAGGCAACCCTTAGAATCCTGTCATAACTCACCCTCTCAGATCTGACCATTCAGAGAGGAGGAAGCAGATTACCACAAATCTGCAGCTCCCAATAATGATGCTCTATCTAAATCAGAGGAGCCAGGCATTGAAGCAATGGAGCCCCAAGAGGCTGCAGTCACTGAAGATCAATTTCAATCATTCATCCAGCAATGACAAGAAAAAGAAAGATTGTGTGGCTCCCAGAGTTTATTAAGTAGGAGACCCTGACCTAATCAGGCACCTGGGGTCTTGAAACAGCTGACTATAAACTTCCTAGCCACTCCCTAGCAGCTTGTTGCTTTCAACCGTCCTTTCCTGGTTACTTTCCACTGTCCTGTTTTTGACATTGGACTGGCTACAATTTACAACTCTGTTTCACTTCTTGCTCACTTTGTTTATCTGGACCAGGGGTAGGCAACCTTTCCCCTTTAAGGGCCGAGGGACTTCAGCTCCCAGAATCCCAGGAGCTATTGGCCAACATGGGACTATTGGCCAACATGGCTGAGGCTTCTGGGAGCTGAAGTCCCTCGCCCCTTAAAGGGGAAAGGTTGCCTACCCCTGATCTGGACTATGGACTTACTGAACAGCCTTTGGACCAACTGATGACTACCCTCTTGCTTCTCCATTTATCCTGTTAGATACCCTGTGATTGACCTGGTCTGAATTAACTGTTTAACAGCTATTGTATTCTAACCACCTAATTCCTGAGACACTTGCTGACTGGAGCATAGGACAGATCCATTCCAACTCTACAATTCTAGGATTCTTTAGATTTACATGATAAGGCATTATGAGGTTCAAATCTCAGTTTCCTCATATAGCTCATTCAATCACAATGAGCAGCCTCTTTCTTTAACCCACTTCACAGAACTGATTTTAGGAAACGTTGAGGTGGAGTAAATAATGTAGAACATCTTTGGCTCCAATAGACTGAAACTAATTAAAATACATATAGATGAGTCCCCATTGACAAGGTTGTCAAGTCATGTCCAACCATAGGGGGAGGTGCTCATCTCCATTACTAAGCCAGAGATCCAGCATTGTCAGAGACTACTCTGTGATCATGTGGCCAGCATGATTACACAGAACACTTTTACCTTCCCACTGAGAAGTGGTACCTATTTATCTCCTTGCATGTGCATGCTTTCAAAATGTTAGGCTGGCAGAAGCTGGGACTAGGGATGGGAGCTCACTGTATTATGCAGCACCTGGGCCTTGAACTGCCAATCTTGCAATCAACAGAGTCAGCGTCTTAACCACTTGAGCCCTACTGCATCCCATATATATGCAAATTAAAAAAAAAAGAAAAGGGAAAATTTTAAATCACTTATGTCTGTCTGATCTATAGCAGAGATCTATAGAGCAGATAATTGTGGACCTAGATGGAGATCAATGGGGAATTTTTCACTTCCCAGGTGGTGGTGATGATGGTTGTGTGCCTTCAAGTCATTTCCGATTATGGCAACCCTAAGACAAACCTATCATGGGGTTTCCTTGGGAAAATTTGTTCAGAGGAGGTTTGCCATTGCCTTCTGCTGAGGCTGAGAGGGTGTGACTTGCTCAAGATCACCTAATGAGTTCCATGGCTGAGCTGGGAATTGAACCCTGGTCTCTAGAGTCATAGTCCAAAGTTCAAACCATTACACCACATAGAGAGTCCAAGAAACAATAAAAAAATTCATCAAGGAGAAGGCTGAGGAAATTTTAAAAATAAGTGATAGCCACAAGTTGACTAGAGAAAGAAAAAAATGAGAAATAAAACTAGGAAGAAATAGTATGAATTGAAAAGGGGGAAATTAACAATTGCATTAAAAGGTATTTCAGCCACAGTCATGGTTGGAGTAAAACCCAAAACAAATTCTTCACCCCACTGAAATGGATGCTTAGGCCACCACTACAATCTTGGGCAAAATGATGAAATAAGTTGACCTAGTATAAGGCATTCATAGCCAACATCCATCCTAACTGAATGGTGGTACAGTCTGGCCAAGTTATATCCAGGGGTGTGAATTTGGCCTGCATACTTTCACTGCAAAGTATGGTAATTCCAGCAAAACTGGGGAGGGGAATATGGAAGCAGCCTCAGCCTTTATAACTGAGAATTTACCTCTGAAAGATACAGCAATCATTTTACAATAAGTGTCCCCAAGTTATGAAAGAAAAGTGCCCTTCTGTTTGCTTGTCTGTTTCATTTTAGATGCATCTTTTGCTCTGCATTGTCATCATTCCTCTGATTGCCTCTGAGCAAGAGAACACAACTGTGAGCGTCAGTCTTAAAATTCTGAACAGAACTGTGGGGAAAACGTCTTCGGTGATATCAGGTGCTATATCAAAATTGCTTCAGGTTGACTGCATGTTACTGCAGTGGTCCCCAACCTTTTTATTGCCATGGACCGGTCAACGTTTGATACTTTTTCCGTGGCCCACTGGGGGCGGGTTGCGGCATCGCATAAAATATGCTGCACAGAAGACGCAGTAGCAGGGCGGCACGGTACCGTTTGTTCTGCGGACCGGTACCAGGCCGCGGACCGGGGGTTGGGGACCACTGTGTTACTGGATCTACTCTGGTATGAACTTTTATAAAGTGTTACCCAATCTGCTGAATCTATTTAAGGCTTGGCATCTTGAATAGCTCCTTTAAATTTAGAGCAGATCGACTACCTTTCCTGACATGGTAAATGCCACCTCTTGTGGCTACCCACCTCTCTGGGCCAGAGCCCTGTGTTGGCACCAAGTTTGTCGGGCCCTTGTGACATCCAAAAAGTAATTGACAATGGAGATCTGCAGCTTAAGTCCTTTCAAACTAATAACTTTATGAGATTCACCACTGACATTCCTGGGCAAGAGTAAGTAACTACTGTGAGTCTGGGGGCCAGTTTTCTACTGTGGGCTCCTCTGAGAGAATGTGAGCTACCGAAAATGCTTTCCTCCCTATCAAAAAAAAAAATATATCCAAGTGGCCTAGTAGCATCACTAGCAGATACAGAGGATGCACACCACACCAAGTGAAAGCATAGAGGGGGGTGAACACCCAGGGAGATGGTTGCCCATCATCCAATGTAACATTCCTGCCGCTGCAAACCAGGGGACCTCTGCAAAAGAGAAGAGGATGCTCCTGTTGGAAGGGAAGGGAGGGAGCAAGGGCAGGGCAGGGCAGTCCATTGGCTCACCCACCTGCCCAGCCAGCCGCCTAGGTTCTTCCAGATCTAGCCGGCCGAGTGGGTGAGGAGGAAAAGAAAGAAAGAAAGAAAGAAAGAAAGAAAGAAAGAAAGAAAGAAAGAAAGAAAGAAAGAAAGAAAGAAAGTCCAACCACTTGCTTATCCACCCATCCACCCAGCCAGCCAGATTTGGCCAGATAAACAGGTGAGGTTGAGGGAGCTAAGGGAGAGCAGGGCTGTCCAGTGGCTCACTCACTTTCCCGGTCAGCCACCCAAGTCCTTCTGGGTCTGTCAGGAAGAGCAGGTGAGGCAGAAGGAGGGGAGTGTGTGGGGATGTCTGCTACTGCTGCCCCCACCTACGTTGCCCCCACCCCACACCAGATCTAGTGACACCACTGAAGTGGCCAGAGGTCTAGTTGTGAGTTCGAAAATTGTGGGATGAGATTCTGCCTCAACAGGGGTATTGGAGAAGTATTTGGTTATGTCCCTGTAGCCAGACCCCAAGGCAGTCCTGGAGGATGACTTTATCATTCTGAGTTTGACTAGAGGAACAGGCTAGAAGATGCTTCTCCAATGCCTCACACTTTACACCAGCTACTAAAAAGCTGTGGAAGGAGTTGGCTCCTACAGAAAGGATGTGATTTAGGTTTAAATGAGGAAGAGAGAGAATTCCAATTTCTGCAATGACCAGAACAAAAGCATACATAAGTGTATGTTGGACCTAGGACGTTATCACACAGGGAGTCGCGGGGAGAAAGTGGAAATAAACCGGACGAGCGGAAGACTTTAATTTACGGGATTTGTCTCGTTCTGGCTCGTCTGATAACTAAATTCGAATTTAAAGGGGGGTTAATTTGAACAAAAACCTGATCTTTTCATTTTCGGGATTTTTGAGGAAATGAAAAGATCAGGTTTTTGTTCGAATTAACCCCCTTTTAAATTCGAATTTAGTTATCAGACGAGGCGGAACAGGACAAATCCCGTAAATTAAAGTCTTCCGCTCGTCCGGTTTATTTCCACTTTCTCCCCGCAACTCCCTGTGTGATAACGTCCCTAGTTTGCTTATAGCACTAACTGGGTGTTGGTTGGTATTTCTACCTGCTTGTTTGTTTTGTTATTCTTGTTGTTGTTTATTAAAGTTGAACAGTAGAGGATGACCATGCTACCTATTCAAAAGATGAACTGTCATTTCTAGAGTCATCCAGGAGAGGTCACTCACCTTTTTTTGTTGACCAGAAATATGGTCCAGGGATAAAAGGTCATAAAAACAGATTTGTTGCAACATGGGCACCCGCAAGGCCACTCACCTAAGGTCTGAGAGGGTAAACTGAGCCCTTGCCAAAGTGCTTTTCAAAGGGGATTGAAAATCAAAATAGATACAAAACATTTATCTAAGTCAACTATATTTCAACTCTCCCCTGCTTTAGTCCAATGTTCTAGTTTACTTGATCATTTTTATTTCACCAGCTGCCCTTTCTGATGGGATGAAAGGGTGGAGAAAAGAGTGTGTGAATTAATAAATATACATCTAGTTGTGGGAAATGGGTATTTTCTGATGTTATACAGGGCAAGGTGGCTTAGGCCCTGTTTACAAGGGGGTGCAGTTCTCGGGGAAGCCTCCAAGAGAGAGTGTTCACCCTCCTTGAAACCATTAAGAGTGGGATAAAGGAACTTGGGGGCTGCAAAAAACAGCCTTGTGGCTCCAAGACCATACTTTGCCCATCCCTGTCCTAGGCAAAGGAGTGTCTACTACAGAATATGGCCTCTCCCATGCATGTTAAATGTTAAATATTTAATGTAAATGTTAAATGTTGTGCCCATGCTTTCTCCGGCAGAGAAGGGTTCCCACCCATTGACCAGGCTTGGCTCTACCAGGAGGCAAAGCTAAGCAGCTGCTTTGGATAGCAGATGCTGCAAGTTACAGGAAAACCCCTGAAGATTTCAGCATTTTTCCATATTCGTTTTGGAAGAAAGGCAGGATATAAGTTTTAAAATAAATAAATGAATTCTTTGCTCAAGAACTTGAGAGGTGGAGGTAATCAAACAAGTAACATATTCCCCAAAGAAAATCTGTGAATAACAAGTCACACACTATTTTACTTATTAATTAAAAATATTATTTTATAATATGTATTAAATGTTGTTATTGTGTGCCTCCAAGTCATTTCTGACTTATGGCAATCCTATCACAGGGTTGTCTTGACAAAATTTCTTCAGAGGGGATTTGCCTTTTCATTCCTCTGAAGCAGTGAAGAGCCCTGTTGGCGCAGTGGTTAAATGCCTGTACTGCAGCCACTCACTCACAAGGTTGCGAGTTCAATACCAGCCAGGGCTCAGGCTCGATTCAGGCTTGCATCCTGAGGTCGCTAAAATGAGTACCCAGCTTGTTTGGGGCAAGTAGCTTACAGTTGTAAACCACTTAGAGACTGCATAGTGTGGTATGAAGTGGTATATAAATGAAGCTACAATTGCAATTTCCATGGCTGAGCAGGGATTTGATTTCTGGTCTCCAGAGTCATAGTCCAATGCTCAAACCACTACATCATGATGGCCTTCATCACCACACTGGCTCATACTAATTAAATATGATGTTCCAGTTAAATTAAAATATATTAATTAAACAATATTTATTAATTTCCAAGCTCTTTCCCTAGCTGCATCTACCACTGAAGTAACCACCTTGCTTTTTAGGACCGGGCCTCAAATCGGTGAGAATCCCAATCCTGGGAAAGGCAGCCCATTGCATTGATCTTGTCTCCCAGGGTAGGTGGTCTCATCATCTGACATGCATGGTTAAGGCAGGGGAACATTTGTAATAGGAGGAAAACAGTGCCTCTGAATCAGAGGAAGAGAATCAGACTACGCCCAACTGCAGGCAAGTGAAATTCTCTGTCTGTGTGTGTGTATGTGTGTGCCTCCAAAGCTGCCTGTCAGCTTAGGGTGACACTATGAATTTCATTGGATTTTCTTAGACAAGGACCACTCAGATGTGCTTATGCCAGTTCTTTCCTCTGAAATATATAAGCTTATCGCACAGCACTTACAGGAATGAGAACGGAAAAGAACAGAATGGAACAGGACAAAAATGCATGTTACTGCACAGGAGAATGCCACCGATGCTGCTGGGAGGCCCCAAGCTGTTCCCCAGCCATTTCTGGCAGCCAATTTTGAAGAACGATTTTGAACCGTCCAGGAACGGCTGGGAAATGGCTTGGGGACTCCCAGTGGCATCAGTGGCATTCTCTTGTGCAATAACATGCATTTTTATCCTGTTCCATTCCAATCTATTTCCATTCACATTCCTGTGACATGCAATAAGCTTACTTGTCTACAGCACCTGGTAATCCTTGGTGGTCTCCCATCCAAGTGCTAACCAGGGATGACCCTGTGCTAACCAGGGCTGGCCTGATCAGATGTGATCAGGTGCTTTCAGGGTATTTAGGAACTCACAACTGACTCTACCTCCCCACCATTCTCATTGTGTTTCCTTTTACCTCTTTCAATTTGTATTCCCAGTCCCACAGAAAGATGGAAGGCGAGTACCAGTGACATTGAAAAGAAATAAGCGGTCCGATCGGGGTAATGAGGTTTTTCAGGATACAAGCCTGAAGTGGGTGGCATTTCAGGGAACTATCCCACAAGGAACTGTCTCACTATGGAATAATTATGCCCAGAGGAGAGAGTATACCTGTGCTATCGATGATTGTCGAGCTGGATTCTACAGTCCAAACGAGGGTTCATTCTGTTTCTACCCTTTTGCTGGGAAACAACGTCAGAGTGCCAGGTTCTGGCTTTTGGTGAATGAAAATGACCTAGAACTGTTGGAATGGCGCAGTGGATATGCCGGGGGTGTTCCATCCAATTCTATTGGTACTTGCTCAGGAGACAGATTTTACGTCGCAAAAAATAAATATGGACTAGGGGAGGTTGACCGACAGAATACAGCTTTCTTTATAGGAATAGATGGTTCAGAGTACTGGTACAAATCCTATGATGTCCTCACTGTTAATAAAGACTACGTGTCTCATAAAATCTACAACGTCATATACTTTAAGGAGCATGGGGAGTATGAAAATGAGGCTGTGATCTTAAAAACCAGTAAAGTCAGAAACTATGACTGTAAGGCAATCAAGAAGAAAACCTCCTTATCCAAAGAAATAGCTCGTGAGCATCACTGGGATCTTAGCAACTCTTTATCATTTGGTACGAGTTTAACTCTAACTGCAGGAATCCCTAGAATCATAGGAGGGCGTTGGTCTATTTCTGTAGAAAAAAACATCACCCAAAGTGAGGGTTCTTCAGTGTCTGATAAGGAGGTGCATACTGTAGAAGTGGAACTGGAGGTCCAGCCCAATCACGAGTGTGAAGTGGAAATGGAAGGTATTAAAATGAAAGCAGAGATTCCCTTCAGTGCCTCAGTGATTCGCCAATACAAAAATGGGGTGAAGCGAAGAGCCACTGTGCAAGGAGTCAGCAAAAATTTGGCTGTGGAAGAAGTCAGTGCCGTTGTAAAGAGATGTCATCCCATCCCAGACGCAGAACCCTGTAATGATTCTCATGCCTAGAAAAAGAGAAGCCAAGTATGCCTGAAAAAGAAATGAAGAGGAGAAGAAATGCTCTGGTGGCACCTTGAAGAACCATTGAGTCTGCCGCAGGTCCATCAAAGGAAGAAAAACTTATGTCAGCAAATATGTGCTGGCAGGAAAGGCCTCCATATTTCTATCTTTAAATCTGAACTTTTCAGAAGTTATCCAAGGAGCTGAACTTTATCTCCAAAGTAGGTTCAGTACACTGGATAGCTCCATTAAATTTCTGTATAAAACATGGAACAGGTTCACCATCCCACCAAAATTGGGAGCCACCAGCTGCCTCTGTAACTACATTGGTAGCCATCTTGTGCTAGCAAATTACAAAATTTATATAAATGCTGAGTTAATCAGGAGGTTCTAATCTAATCTATTAGCAAATACTTTATTCAAGGTAAAGTTTTCTTATTACACTATATGTAGCTGGTTATTGATTAACCTAGTATCAGGATTATTAGGAACCATGCATTTTCTCTGTGTGTGAATAATGTAATTGCCATGGTCAGTACATTCTGCATTCAGTTACTCTCTGATTTCATTCTCTAAAATCTCACCCCTGAAGACATATACTGGGTTTGATTCCTGTAATTCTGGAGAACAAACACATCATGTATCTGATGGGGTTTACTATACTCCACATAATCTTATGCCATAATAAATCTGACAGCTCTTAAAGTGCCATATGATTTTTGTTATCGTTTGTGAAAAAAGAGGTGAGAAATCCAGATTTTATTTAAAGATTCAAAGCTCATTTTCCTATAAGGGGTGTTACACCTTCCAGAGAAGGCGAGATGAAAGTGGTTGGTGGTCTGCAGCAGTTCCAAAAACAGAGCCTCCTTTGTACACGTGTGTGAGTTCCTCTGTCAGGCCCAACATGCCAGCCAAAATTTCACAGATGACAACCAAGATGTATATGGCCAAGTAACTTCAGAGTGTGGTCAAAATGGCAAAAGATATTCATGTGGAAGAATGCACAAGCTAAAGACTTTATCACATGGGGGAAATCCCATGCAGAAATGGGGTTTTACCTGGGTGGGGGGATTGCAAAAGCAGGTAGATTTTCACACAATATTGATGTTAAAGTGTGCTTAACCCAAACGGAAAGTAGTCAAAAGCCACTTCTTTTTACTTTTGCAAATCCCGAAAGTAAAAAGAAGCAGCTTTTGACTACTTTCCGTTCGGGCTAAGCACACTTTCAAAGTGATGTGAGTGAAAATCTACCTGCTTTTGCGGGTTTTCCCCACCCTTTAAATCCCGTTTCTGTATGGGATTTCCCCAGTGTAATAAGGTCCTAAGAGGATACTGCATTTTTTTTCTTTTTGCCTAAGTGTAAAGGTAAGTGAAAGACTACTACTACTCCGTACTGAATTAATTGAGTGCAAACTACTTTTTGCACTTCATACTCAGTGTGCAGCAAATGAAGTAAGCTGAGAGACAAAGTGATTGAGATGGACTGAGACAGGCTGAGAGAAATACAGTAACCCAAACAAGGACTCCAAAACCCATCTGCCTAGTACAAGAGGCCCAGGTCACTACATGTGTCATCATAGAAACCTGTATGAACAAGTAGGCTGATAAATAGCCTGAAGGCCAAGAAGAGATAAATTCACTCATTATAACCGAACAGTAAATAAGGCCAGCATAGTATAGTGGTTTGAGTGTTAGACTACAACTCCGGAGTCCAGCGTTCAATTCCCAGCTCAGCCATGAAACTCAATGAGTCACTTTGGGCAGGTCACAAGCTCTCAGCCTCTGGGGAAGGCAATGGCAAACCTCCTCTGAACAAACCTTACTGAGAAAATCCCATGATAGGTTCACCTTAGGGTTGCCATAAATCAGAAACGACTTGAAGGCACACAACAAATAAAGGGCCTTTGCAGACTATCAGAAATAGTGCAAATTGAGTCCACTTTAAGGGTTAGGGTTAGGGTTTGGGAATCATGGGAACTGTATTTTATTGTGGCACCAGAGCTCTCTGACAGAGAAGGCTCAATGTCTCAGAAAAAAAAAACAATTCCCATGACTCCCTAGCACTAACCCTAACCCTTAAAGTGGACTCAGTTTGCACTATTTCTGGCAGTCTGCAAAGGCCAAAGTAAGACAATTTGTGTCTACTTAAACACAAGAGGGAGCTGTAACTCCATATAAAAGAAAACACATTCTTTCTCAATTGTCTGATCGGATGTTAAGGACAGTGAAAACATGATGCTTTTATATAACGGACAAGCTACTAGCAAAATATAGCAACCTAATTGCGTCAGTCTCTCTGTCTCCCTGCTGTTTTTCTTTTCTGCTGTTTTCCAGAGACAAAAAGTTGGCCAGGGTGCTTCCAAAGATGACGTAATGTCAAATCTAATAAAATTCAGATTTCTGAATCAATTTCAGAATTCATTTTCATTCTTTTATTATCTTTTTGTTCTTGCACTATGCCACTGAGTTTCTTTACAGTGTGTAACTACTGTTTCATCACATGCATCTATTTGTATTAATATGTATATTGAGATCAATCATCTAATACCTGCTTGTTCGAATTTACCCACAAGCCTGAAAATAGTGTGCAGTCCTAATATTACCAATTTTAATATTAGTTAGATTTACATCTTCCCTGCAGTGAGCTCAAAACTTTCTTCTTTTCCATTTCATCCTCACAACAACCCATGAGCTAGGTCAGATGGAAAGAAAGTAACTGGTCCAAAGTCACCTAGTTTCAAAGCACACTGCATAAATAATCCAGTTTGAGACCCTTTGACTGCCCTGGCTCAATGCTAGGGAATCCTGGTAACTGTAGTTTATTGTGGCACCAGAGCTCTCTGACAGAGGCTAAAAATCTCACAAAACTAAAGTTCCCAGAATTTCCTAGGACAGTTAAAGCAGTCTCAAAATGGACTATTTATGCAGTGTATTTTGAACCCTAGTAAGTTTTAGGAGACTTGAAATAAAGAAACAAGTGTTCACTGGAGACTCACACCTGGATCTCCCAAGTCTGAGTCAAAACCTCTAACTGCTACACCAGACTGCCTCTCCATTCCTTTCATATGACATACAGAAGTTACAGCTCCTAACACTCCTACCTGAGAGTAACTTCCACTATATTCAGTGTGACTGAGTTCTCAGATGACATGTACAGGTTGTGCTATCAGAGATCTGGTACACCCACACACAGTTTACCAAGCAAATCTCTCCCTGTACTGACCAAGATACAATCCCATTACATACACAAATACCCAACCAATGACCTACAAAAAGAAACACAAGAGGTTTGCATACACCAAAGGGGAAGAACTGTGGTAGGCATGGAGGCCAAATTTTTTGCCCTTGGGCTCTATAGCCTGGTCCCCAATCCACACTGCTGACCCCTGGCATACAACAACAGGCACTATATATACACACACACATACACACACACACCATGACTGCAATCCATATGTGCATACATATCACATTGGCTAGAATCCTGCTAGTCTCAACAAGACTAGACTCCCAGTGAAAGCAATTGTTGAATGGTAAGCTAACACATAGGTAAGTCCAACTGATTTAATGGCTCTACTCTAATCATGACTAAAACTAGGATTTAGGCAACTGAAGTCAGTGCAGCTAAGGCTTCAATCCTATATACATCTTCCTAGCAATAAATTTCAATGAAACCAGAAGGGTTAAATTCTGAATAAACACACAATGGATTTTACAATGTCATGTATATACAGTTCTTGTAGAGGGTTGTGTGCAATAAGTCCTTGTACAGTACCAGACGCATCAATGCAACAGGGCAAATGCAGTCCAACTCTCTGTTACCAGAGTTCTGATATGCAATGTATACATTTCTGCTCTCACAAACACAACTAGCATTCATCTCTCTTACTTCCACTGTGTTTCTCCCAGGACACTCATGCAAATACAAGCCAACATTTCAGATTCAAAAAATAATACCAAGCCCATTCAAGATTCCCACATCTTTTCCATGCTCACCTCTCCCAGCTAAATAGAAATCTTACAGCCCTATTGCACAGACAGCCCTCCATGCCCTTACAGCAGGTGATTTGCAATTATCATTCTGCCTACTCTGGAAAGAAAGAGCTCTAAGCGTCCGTAAGCAGACACAGACAAATCAGCCCCTTCATCAGGGACTCTTCCGAACCATGGCTTAAATGCCTGCTGGGTTATGAAAGTCTGAAGCATGGCTGTTCGTTGTCTTTGAGCATATGCAAAGTGTCCTCACCACTCTTAAGCAATCACGGCCAGCAAGCTCAGTACCACTGGGATATATTGTTTATTTGGTTGGTTTATTTATGGATACAGAGGCAACATTGCAACACTAAAGAAGAACTTAACAATATATGGTATTAAGACATGTTTAAAAGCAATTTAAAAACATGTTCAAAAAGGAAAAACACCACCAGAAGGAAAAGAGGAAGGTGGCTAGCCTAGCCTTGGAGCATCACCAAAGGCATGTGTGCATTCTCTCAGCTTCTCCCAACACTTGTGTGTATGGCTTTGGCCCAAATCCACAAAAATTTATCCACAGCACTCTTAGACTCATTGCTACACACACATACACGCACAAATCCGCCAAGACAAGAGACCCGCAGCTCCCAAGGCCCACATACCCTACCCCTCACCCATGACCTCCATCCTAAGAGGCAAAGCAATGGATCCATCCTGGCTTAGAGGTGAATTTCAGCCCCCTTCGGGGTCAGGGTTCATATGGCTGTGCTTTGCCCCGTCTGTGGCCGATTATCCTTAAGCCACACAGGCCATGAGAACTGCTGGGAGGCAGGTGCTTGGCTGTCTCCGTTGCAAGCTGTCACTCTCTGCCCATGGCTGATCTCCTTGACCTCATGTTAGGTCCATTCCCTGCCCAGGTTCCAGCAACACTGAGGAAAGAGGCAGGGAGGGTGCCTCTCCCAGAGCTAAGCCTCTGTGAATTAAACCCTAGTGCTGGGAGCATATCTGGAATGCCCAAGATCCACCCACCCATCTTTCTATCTCTCTAGCCACCCCTCCTGCATGACTGGGCTGGGCTCCAGCTGACTCTCCAGCCAGAGGCAGCATTGGTAACTTCCACTTGATCAGTGCAGAGTACGCAGGCTTGCACGGCCAGCCCCAGCATGTCAGAGAGCTCCAGCCCCCAGGAAGCCCCCAACACAGAGGGACAAGGCACCCCGGCTGTCCCCACAGAAGAGCCACCCTGCGCTGAGCTGAAAGCTGCCTCTGAGAAATGGTGAGTTGGACAGATGGGCAAAGAAGAGGGCATTGACCAAAATAGTGGCATAGTGCGTGTCTGGTCTGCTAATATTCATACTAGTACAGTCAGCCTTGGATATCCACAGATTCTTATTATACAGAATCAACCATCCATGGTTTGAAAATATTTAAAAAATATATAAATTCCAAAAGCAAACATTATCTTTGCCATTTTGTATAAGGGACACCATTTCACTATGCCATTGCATTTAATGGAATTTGAGCATCTATGGATTTTGGTATTCACAGGGGGGGTCCTGGAACCAAACCCCAGCAGTTACCAAGGGCCCACTATACTAATACTAATATTAATACTAAATGATACTAATGTGAGGAGTGGGAGCAGCATGCCTTGGAAGTGATGACACCTTCACGACATCTCAGATCTAGCTTGCTACGTAGCTGAAGCCAATGGTGAGAAGCTCTGTTTCCCCCGCATATCTGTCCACTCTTCTGCAGCAAGCTGTAGGGTTATTGTAGGTTAGATGTGACAGGCTATTGCTCAATACATGGATATTTCCATGTGGTATGTGAGAGAGGGTTTTGGAGGCCCAGAGGCAAAAGGTTGTGTGTGTAAAGGAAGCAAAGTAGAGTTGCCAGATCTCAAGGCCTGGCCCTACATCTCCAGTTTTCATGGAGCACCTCCAGTTAGATGAAGATGGAAATTTTCCAGTTTTGGTGAGCTGAGCTCCAGTCAAGAGATAAAGACTATATGTGCAAACATCCAGCTCGGCTAATAGAGGAGCATTTTGCTATAGCTTGCCAGGCTTATTTGATTTGTTGCTACAAGTTGCAAAGACTCGGGGGGGGGGGTGCATGAATTTACTTAGGTTCCTCCTTTCCTCCTAGTTGCCAGAGTTCACCCTCTATCTTCCTTTGCATTCACCTGGCTATAAGAAGGTAGCCTATATTAAATGTTCCTTATCCTATCTCCTTAACAAACTGAGGAAAAAATAGTCCACTTCACCTTCATCTGGGAGCAGCCCCTTTAGCTAAGATTTTTCTCTTATTTTCCAAACGTGAATGTCTTGTGTATGTGTGTTTGAATGACAATCTGTGAGGAATGGCATCTGGTTTATGCACAAAGTTTAATTATATCACCTGGCAATAGTCTCAGGTTTGGGCTCGGAAATGTTGGGGTTTGGTATAATCCTGAACTGGCAACTCTAAAGCCAAGTATTTCTTGAATCTAAGCACCGAGTAGCACAAGACTCCAAAGACACAGCATACATGAAGCAAGAAATTGGCCTGCCTAGCAAGATCTCGTCATTGGCCCCAGAATTCACACCACTCTTAGGTCCAGGACTGGCTGAGGAGGATAGTGTGGCACCTAACATTAAAAATGTAAATGGGATCCCCACATCATTGTAAAAAAAAATACAGATGTATTTTTTAAGCACAGATTAGAGCACAAGCATTTTATCCCCTTTTATCAAGAAAATTGACATCTGCTACCAGAGGCGGCT